GTTGCCATGCCCTCCTCCAGGTGATCTTCCCAACCCAAGGATTGAACCTAAGTCTGCCGCATTGCAGGCGGATTCTTTACCAGCTGAGCTACCAGGAAGCCTGTAAATGTATGTGCATCTTAAATCCAAATAAACAGGTTTTACACCACATTGGTGATTCTTAACGTGATGGGAGACGACAGTGAATTTACGTTTTTTGGTTGAGAGGAAAAAATAAAGTGATAGAACTAGAGCTACTGTGGTGGGCAGAATTCTCAGATGGCCCCCAAGATTCCTGCCCCTAGTGTACATACTTCCCAGTTGTCCAAGCAGATACTAACCCAGGGATTGGTGTCAAAGGGTTTTCTAGATCTGTTTTAAGTGTATAATGTATTGACATTATCTTTTTTTTTTCTAAATTGAATCTGTAGTTTTGATTTTGTCTGCACCACGCAGCTTATGGAATCTTAGTTTCCCTGGCCAGGGATTGAACCCAGAGCCCTGGCACTGGAAGTCCTCACCACTGCGAGTCCTCACCACTGAGCCACCAGGGAATTCCCTCAATTGACTCTAAATTGGGGAGATTATTGTGGGTGGGCCTGGCTTAATCAGGTGAGTCCTTAAAAGAAGTCAGATTCAAGCAGAAGAGACTCCTACTTACTTTGAAGAAGCAAATAACCATGAGTGAGCTGTTGTGGCAGGGATCTGAGGGTAGGCAGCCTCTAGAATTTGAGAGCAGTTTTCATAACAACCCCCCAAAAATGGGAACTTCAGACCTACATCCACAAGAAACTGAATCCCACAAACCATCAGTGAACTTGGAAGAGGACTCCAGCTGTCAGATGAGATCACAGTCATGGCTCACATCTTAATTTCAACCTGATGAAACCCTGACCCTCGGGAAGTGTGAGATAGTAAATCTGCGTTGTTTTAAGTTGCTATGTTTGTGGTAGTTTGTTACACAGCACTAGAAACCTATTAAATGGCTAATAACCTGCATCCTGATGTACTTGTCCCCAATCTGATACCTAAGAGTTTAAAAAAAAAAAAAAAAAGTTGAGACTTGCTCTACTACCTGATAAGGAACTAGACGATGGGATAAAATTTGCCTCCAGTACAACTGCATCAGTTCCATCTTACCTGGAAATTTTGTTTTCCCTCATCACTGCAAAGCAACTATGCGATTGCCTTCGAAACACTGACCTTTCCAGAAATATTTACCATCTTTCCCTTAGGGGTGTAATTAATATAACCATGGGCATTTTCTGTTTCTCTCAGCAATAGCTGTCGTAGAACTTATGCGGAATGAACTTTGCATTGAGCTCCGCAGCAGGTTAACTGTGATCAGTTTTGAAACCTGGCAATCATTCTCCATCTCACTGCATGTTAGAATCAGCTGACGACTTTAAAAATACTGACTTTCTGATTCATGCCTCAGACCTGTTGGAATAAAAGTTTCTGGGGTTGGGCCAAAACATTGGCATTTTCAAAGAGCTACCAGGTGATTCTAATGTACAGCAAAGATGGAAACTTCATGGAGCTTACAGTAGGACAGCTCCAACTTTAGTTTCATTATATATATGTATACATATTACATATATTATTGTATGTATATATATTATATTTATACATTATATGTATATGTATACATATAGTATATATATAATATATATGTATTATGTGTGTATCACATGTATTATAATTTTATTGTATATGTATATATATAATATGTATACATATGTATAATTGTATAATTTTTATTTTATAATATTTATTTCACAATATATATAATCTTTATTTATTTTTGGCTGTGCTGGGTCTTCGTCGTTACCTGAGGGCTTTCTCTACTTGCAGTGAGCAGGGGCTACTCCCCAGTTGCAGTTGCATGGGGTCCAGGGCACAAACTTAATAATTGTGGCCCAGGGCTTAGTTGCCTCAAGGTGTGTGGAATCCTCCCAGATCAGGGATCGAAGCTCTGTCTCCTGCCCTGGCAGGCAGATTCTTTACCACTGAGCCATCAGGGAAGCCCCTTAGCTGCGTTTTTAACTCCCCAGGAATGCCGATGCTGCTGGTCTGTGGGCAGTGTTTTGACTAGCAAAGGTTTATGGGATTGCTTTTCTAGCCATGTGCGCCGATCTGGCAACCAACTTCACACCCATCCCCAGGACTGCCTGAGATGGCTCATCTTGCCTCTGTCTCTTTTATTCTGCCCTCCTACACACAACATTCTCGTCTTCCTTTTCTCCTCTCTCCTTCCTGTATGCCGTTGGTGTCTTCCCTGAGCCATGCTCTTCATTTTCTTCTTCTTTTATCCCTTGTCGTTAGCATAATTTGGGGGGCAAAATCTAAATCTACGTGCTTAGGAAGAGTCTCAAACTCTTGCATAAAGCCTAGACAGATGCAAGAGAAGAATCATCCCTCACCCATTTAAATAAACACCCTGTTCTTTTTTCACTTTTGTAAACCACTAACCAAAATAAAATTTAAGAATATTTTATTCAGAGGAAAGGGAATTAAATCAAGCATTAATGAAGTATGGAATTGAGGGTCTTTTGTTTTTTCCCTCCACTCCCTGCAGAGTATGAAGCTGAGCTTCCTCCCTTTCCTGAAGGATATAAAGTCAAACAAGACACTGTGGTTACTGTGAGTATCACCCGGGGCCCAACCTAACTGAAAGGTTCGAGAACAGTACTGACAACTGGTGAGCATCAGACAGCGTCATGAATCGGGAAGTGGGGAAAAGAAAGGCCCTGGAACCAGAACCAGAGTGGCCAGTCCCACCTCTGCTGCTTAAAGGACATCACACAACCACTCTGAGTCTCAGTTTCTGTATCCATTAAATGGAGCAGGTCATCCTTGACTGACTCAGAGGGCCTCTGTAGGGCTCAAATGAGATCCTAGAAGAGGAGGACCTTTCCAGTGAATTCAGTGTCCCTTCCATGTTGGGGACAGTTTTGCAGATGGAGCAGATTTCTTTTTGCATAGCTGGGTGGGCTAAGACTGTACTAAGGAAGAGAGAGGGCCTAGGACAGGGCATCAGAAAGGGAGGCCCTAAGGCAACGTTGATGCTTCCCTTGTAGCTCAGTCGGTAAAGAATCTGCCTGCAGTGCAGGAGACCCGGGTTCCATCCCTGGGTTGGGAAGATTCCCTGGAGAAGGAAATGGCAACCCACTCCAGTATCTTTGCCTGGAAAATCTCATGGACGAAGGAACTTCGTGGGCTGCAGTCCATGGGTTTGCAAAGAGTCGGGCACGACTTACTTACTTAAGGCAATGTACCTGGGAATAAAATAGGTCTTAATGGAGTTTAAAAAGGTAAGGCTTTGAGGGATGAGCAGTGTCACTGGAATGGGTCCAAAACCTAAGTCTCTAGACTTCCAGTATCTCACTGCAGCTGTCTCTGTTAGAGATTCTGTGTCTAAGAATTTCCATGGCCTATGATTTTTCCTTTTTCCTAGCATCCTGTTCTTGCTTTATGGATGCAGTGCTTTTTCAAGTTTCTCCACAGATACTAATTGCAGTTCTCTTCCCTGAATTATTTGTGCCTCTTCGGGGTCAGTTACTCTTTTTAGATCTTGATCTTTGTCTTTTATGCTGTTGATGTTCCTCACCTATGTAGAAAGTTCTGATTTTTTTATTCAAAATTTAAAATGCAGGCCTTAGTGGATTTTTTCTACAAAGCAGGCATGGTTTTTTTTCTCCTGCCATACATGTAGGTTTGTTTTCTGGATGGGTCACTTCTATGAATAGAAACACTGGGAGCTCATGGTGGGTGATTGTCCTCTGGAGGAATTTTCTTCAGGGTTGGCAGGCAGGGAGTCCCTATTTGGGAACTGAGCTGGGAGCCCCCAAATCAATGTTGAGGTTTGTGTTCTTTTTTATCTTTTGACTGCCAACCTGGCACCCTGCGTAGTTGTACTCTTTCCCAGGCTGTTTGTTTAATTTGTTTACAAAAGATTCATTGGAAATGAAGGGTAGCAAGATACATCGGGCTGCTGAGAATGTAGCTTTATGTATGCTGATGAGGACAGGAGGAGGGGTGACGGGGTAGTTGGCCAAGGGAACCCCAGCTGGATTTTCATGTAACCTCGCCTGTATATTGTTTCCTTTCTCATCTCCACACTCTGTGGAATTGAATCTCTGAGCACTGAAGCCCTTGAGAATTCCTGTGGGAACATGGACTCTTGCCTTCTGAGGGCAGTTTCCTCCTGTGGATTCTGAGCTGCCACTCCTCTCTGTTATCTGACAACAGGCTTTATCGTGCTTCTTTTGGAAATGTTTGAAGATCTCTCACCCACTGACAGCCCTCCTATTCTTTCTTGTTGTTTAGTTGCTAAGTCATGTCCGACTCTTGGTGACCCCATGGACTGCACCACACCAGACGCCTCTGTCCACCGTCTTCCAGAGTTTGATCAAATTCGTGTCCATCGGGTTGATGATGCCATCCAACCATCTCATTCTCTGTCACCCCTTTCTCCTCCTGCCTTCAATCTTTCCCAGCATCAGGATCTTTCCCAATGAGTCAGTTCTTCACATCAGATGGCCGAAGTATTGGAGCTTCAGCTTCAGCATCAGTCCTTCCAATGAAGATTTGGACTGATCTCCTTTAGGATGGACTGGTTGGATCTCGTTGCAGTCCAGGGTACTCTCAGGAGTCTTCTCCAACACCACAGTTCAAAAGCATCACTTCTTCAGTGCTGAGCCTTCTTTATGGTCCATACATGACTACTGGAAAAACCAGAGCTTCGACTAGACAGACCTTTGTTAGAAAAGTAATGTTTCTGCTTTTTTGTTCTTTGTTAGGGCTTTATTTCTTGATTATCATGTATAGGTGTCTTGGGAGAGAAGAGAGAGAAAGATTTGTGCTCAGTATGCCCCCTCGAATCTAAAGTCTGACACAGAATTTTATTCTTTGTTAGATTATAAAAGAAAATGCAATTATTTAAACAGCATGAATTGATTCTCTCCCTCTTGGGCCATTTGGGATTTGGGATGGGAATGTTTTGTTTGTTTTAGGTTCCCCCAAAGAGTTTTTGGAAATGTTCATCTTTCCAGTTCTGCTGCCTGGAATGGCTAGCCTGCTTCACCAAGCAAAGAAAGAAAAATGTTTTGAGGTCAGTTGTTTTGTTTATTTCTAAATAATAATTCATTTTTATCAGATGGTAGCTCATTATACTATCAGGTGATGGTTTTCAAAACAATCCCTTTGGGAGAGAAAGCCCGTGTTTTGGTCACTTACCCAGCTCCAGCCAGGACATCTAGCTAAGCACACACACGCACTGCCATCTGTCTGGCCGCCTGGCTATAGGGAGGTTTTCTGCTTTGCTTGGCCTCCCTGCCTGCCCTTCTCCTGGGCATTTGGCATCTGCCAGGTTTCTTGAGTCGCCTGCTTCTGTTAGGATGAGCCCACGTTATAACTCTCCTCCCCTCTTATCTGGCTCTGGACTGACTTTCTCAGCTCGGGCCTCTTCCTACTCCATTTCATGCCAAATGCCATGAACGTACTTGCTTCTTGCCTTGCTTCCCCTGGCACACAGCGAGTCCTCGGCGACCCGTCATGATCACACTGTAGCTAGCTATCCGTGTGAATCAAGTTCCAATTCTGGCGCACCCCCAGGTGAACACCCCAAAGTGAATGCTTTTTTCTGCAGTGAATACTCTTTGCTGCAGTTGACAGGATACACTGGGTGTGTGTGTTCGCTGCACAGGACTAGAATTTTGGATGGCCTGCACACAGAGAGTAAAAGAACAACATTTAATGTTGATCAAGTGCTTGCTCTATGCTGGGAACTCTGCTAAGGGTTTGATCATCAGTGACTTCATTTACCTCTCTCAACAGTCCTTTGAGGTTCCTCCAATTCATATCATCTGCATATTTGCAGATGAGAAAACAGAGGAATGGAAAGACTCAGAAAGGTGATCAAGGGTGAATAGCAGAGCTAGGATTCAGATCCAGATCAAATGATTCAAAATGATGTTTTAAAATATTGGCCTTAACTACAGTGCAAACCCCAATCTGCTGGACAGATGTCTTTAAAGCATTCACAGTTAATATTATCATCTGCTTCATTGCCCTTCAGCATGAGATCTCTGTGAGAATAGGAGATATACTGTTCTGATGATTTTATTTGCTGAAGAGATAACATTTTCACATGCTCTAGCAAACACTCAATTTTGCTTTAGCATTGCCCCCCTTGTCTTCATTCCTTAGCCTAATTCACTACAATCTGATCCATTCAGCGTAACATTCCTTCTGACAGGCCTCACCATGACAGTTGTGTCTTTAATAGGAGGAGAGATGAATTATGAGACATTGATCTGAAACCAGGCAGCGTACCTGTGAAGGAAGAGTTTAGGGCATGCTGCTGGGCCATGGTACACCATTTGAGAACCATGGATCCACACAAGGAGGCCAAGACCCCTCAGCCTGTCTTTCAGGATCCTCCACAGTTTTCCCCTCTTTCCTTCTAGCCTCATTGCTCTCCGTTCTCCTTCCTGGATGATACCCTCCATTCCAGCAGATAGAACCACTTGGAGGTCCCTGCACCAGTCCCACACTTCTGTGAATATGTTCCTTCTTCTTCTTTTTTTAGGAAAAAAATCCTTGAGTTCTTATTCTCTGCATATTTAAGTTCTGCTTGTTTTTCCAATCTCAGTACCGTGGCTTCTCTTTCAGGCCTACTATTCCAAAACTGGAAGCAATTGAACCCAGCCCTCAGATTTCACAGTATTTCATCTATTTCTCTTCTTGTGGAAAATTAAGACATCCTTAATTAAGACATTCTTGATCCATAAATGCACTTCATTTTTTAAATGTCTGTTTCCCCAGCATTTTAAGTTCCTTGAGGACAGATACTCTGATTTATTTTTGTATCTCTATTTAGTGCCTAGTATATGCTACCTAGTACGTAGCCCCTGGTAAACATGTAGTTGGCCCTCAGTAAATGAGTGCATGGTTGGACATCAGGGGAGCACCTCCAAAACTATGTCCTTGACCAAAACTCAGCTCTCTTCTGCCTAGGAAGGCTGTTCTCTTGGGCACATCCCTGGGGGGACACCGTGAAGTGGGAGTGAGAGAAGACTTCCATCCACTTTGTGGGTAGGACTGCAGCCTACCAGGCTACTCCATCCATGGGATTTTCCAGGCAAGAGCACTGGAGTGGGTTGCCATTGCCTTCTCTGAAAAACAGCTTAAGCCACTGTTATAGCAACTTGTATGTCAGAGGTGTTATCTACAGGGTGTGGTGATGGAGTCTTCTGATATATTATCCAGGCTACATGAAGCTTGGAGGATATGCAATCTACAAAAATGATTAAGACAAGCTTGATCAGTGAAAGCAGGTTCTAAGCAAAGGAGCTTTTCACAAGTAGTTCCCTTATCTGCTCAAGACAAGCTCAAGAATTTCTATTAGTCACCAGTTTCTGTTAACCCTATGGAGCACGGTTTCAATGGGATATCATGCTGATGAAATGAGGTAGCCCATACAAAGTGCTTAGAGCAGTCCCAGGAATGTGGGAAGAACTCAGTAAATGTTAACTGACTGATCATTAGTATTACTGGGCTACAGGTGCTCCCCAGGTAGGATGGGTTATACATGTTACCTGTTACCTGAGTGGGCTTGCTTTCATTCCTTGGTTACCCCGAGGCCTTATGTAGCACTTGGTCCCAGCTTCCCCCAAACATCTAATTACNTGGGCTACAGGTGCTCCCCAGGTAGGATGGGTTATACATGTTACCTGTTACCTGAGTGGGCTTGCTTTCATTCCTTGGTTACCCCGAGGCCTTATGTAGCACTTGGTCCCAGCTTCCCCCAAACATCTAATTACACAAGGACTTCAAGAAGAAGGTTTATTTTGCTGGTGATTTCATAGGGAGGTGGGAAGAGGGCTTTGTTGGCATCTATTAAGCAATTCTTCTTTAATCCTCTCTAAAGCCATGTCTGTTCTCTCCAGTCACCTCCTCCCACACAAGCCTCTCCAGACCCCTTGGATCCTGAACAATTCAGATCTGGCTGCGTGACCATGTCATGTCAGCCTGCTTGACCCATTCAGCAAAAAAAATTCTAGCATTCAGCTTACCCTTCCTTCCTCAAAATGCAATTAAACTGATACTTGGAGCCTTTGGTGGGTGGGGTAGTGGAAGGGGGCTTCTCACCTCCCACCCAAACAAAGGCAGAATTGTAAGGTTATATTGCTCTGGCAGAAATGCTTAGTTGTGAGACACAGGCCTAGTGAATTCAAATCTGGGAAACCCTGATCCTGCCTCATTCTCCTGATATGCTGGTACAGACCAGTTGCCCTGACTGAACCAGAAAAAACTACAGTGATCAGATCCCTATTTTCATTAACTTGAGAAGCTCCTCTGCTGAAGTGTCTAAACAGAAAAAGCTGGTAAAACGAATGTCAGCAATTCAGTACTGACTATCCATATTCATCCAGGTCATGGCACTATTGAATGTCAACTTCCTACCCCAACTTCCTGCAGTCTTTATCTGGAAGCTTGGTATCTCAAATAGGCAAGATGGGTGAATTGTTATTACTTCTTTCATTTGTTAATTCAAAATTTTAGAATTTCTTAATTAAATTTAATTCCCTCCCCTCCCCACCCCCATGTCACAGAGTCTTTTGTGGGTTATTTTTTCAGGCTTAAAAATTATATTATTGCCATCTCAACATTTGTCAGATCCTAGTGGAGCTCCTCTTATCCAGATATGCACAGCAGATTTGCATTTTCTCCATTCAGCTGTTCCTCACATCTTGTCTTTGGGAATAGACACTTAAACTGAATGATAACTAGCCTCCAGCCAGAATTACATAACCGGAGCATTCTTATCTGTCACCTACAATTGAACTTGCTTCCAAATGACTCAAACAGCAGCATAATTCACTGTTTATTAGGGCCATTCAAATTATATCTTGAAACAGCAGCTTACAAGTAATTGCTGATTTGTGTTTTGCCCTTAAAATGCTGAGTTCTAGTTATTTCTGCTTGCTTTCCTTATTTTCTGTTTTGTTCTATGATATTGTTTCAGCAGTGCCTGGAACATAGTTGTTGTTCAGTCACTTAGACATGTCTGACTCTTTGCACCCCCATGGACTGAAGCATGCCAGGCTTCCCTGTCCTTCACTATCTCCCGGAGTTTGCACAAACTCATGTCCATTGAGTCAGTGATGCCATCCAACCATCTCATTCTCTGTCTTCCCCTTCTCCTCTCCTTAGTCTTTCCCAGTATCAGGGTCTTTACCAATGAGTCAGCTCTTCGCCATCAGGCCAAAGTATTAGAACTTCAGCTTCAGCATCTGTCCTTCCAATGAATATTCAGGGTTGATTTCCTTTAGGATTGACTGGTTTGGTTTCCTCGCTGTCCAAGGGACTCTCAGTCTTCTTCTTCAGCACCACAGTTTGAAAGCATCAATTCTCCAGCACTCAGCCTTCTTTATGGTCCAATTCTCATATCTGTACACAACTACTGGAAAAACCATGGCTTTGAGTATACAGACCTTTGTCAGCAAAGTGATGTTTCCGCTTTTTAATATGCTGTCTAGGTTTGTCACAGCTTTTCTTCCAAGGTGCAAGCATCTTTTAATTTCATGGCTGCAGTCACCATCTGCAGTGATTTCGGAGCCCAGAAAGGTAGGGACTCACTAAATATTTGTGAGATGGATATATGAATATGTGAGCGTGCTAAGTCACTTCAGGCATGTCCGACTCTGCAACTCTTTGAACTGTAGCCCAGTTCAGGCTCCTCTGTCCATGGAATTCTCTAAGCAAGACTACTGGAGTGTGTTGCCAGGCATTCCTCTAGGGGATCTTCCCAACCTGGAGATCAAACACATATCTCTTATGTCTCCTGCTTCAGCAGGAGTGTTCTTTGCCACTGCACCACTGATTCTGCAAAAGTCAGAGTCTACTTTTCAGATCGTAATTAAGTTATAGGAGCACATAGCTGTTACATGCAAGAGGTTGTTTACTAATTGTACCTGCTCTGTCTGGATCTGCCACCCCTGGAGGGAGCTTGTTGCGATCTGTCCAGTGCCCTGGAGCTCGAGCTGAGTAAGGAGCAAATCCTCTAAAATTGAAGAAGCCTCATAGCCAGTAGAGAGCCAGTGTTGA